TCTTTATTTTAATTAATTAAATTAATTAGAATTAGTTTTTCATTAATTTAATTATTACTTTTCCTAAACAAAAAATAACAAAAACATTTCTTTCTTTTTATCATTTAGATTTTTTTAGGTTCTCTTTATATCTTTCTCTTTTCTCCCCCCGCGCGTTTATTTTTTTCGCATTATTTTCACAATTATGTAATTGCCTATGGATTGTAATAGTTTAATTAGGACCATTTACATTTATTTTCCCTGTTTTGGTTTGTAATTCCCCCATCCCGAAGTCTTGTAATAGCGTAGATTCAAAACTCCTGCACTTTATTTTTTGTACTTATTCAATTAACTGTTAGATGAATACTAATAGTCTTGTATGATAAGATTAAAAGAAAATGCTAGCAAACCTGACACTCAAGATAAACTTAACTGAAACACAACACACTCGCACACGCGCACCTCTAAGGTACCTCCACTTGTTGCCTTCGGATAAATAAACAGTCACGACTCTCAAACATAAGATATTTTAGTGGTGACCCTTTGGTTTAAAGATCATAAGTCCCTCGATGACCCTTTCAACGTTGCCTCATTATATGATCTTAAAACCTTAGGCTAATTATTAAAGTATCTTACTAGTTGCTTTCGTGATTATACGATGACCCTCTCCCATGCCTCAAACATCCAATGGTAGGGCTACCCACCAACTAATGATGGGATAGCACTATCTAAATGAAAAGAGGAAAAGAACAAACCTTTCGAGTCGGTAGATAACTCCTAGTTGCTTGCTCAAACAAAACAATTTTTATACATACACAAGCTTCTTCTAAACATTTTCAAAGACATGAAAACACTTTGTATACATTCTCTCCGAAACGAGAAACATTACAAAGTTCACCGTACTAAGGCGTCTTTTCAAAATATCTTCAAAATACACTTACACCAAAAGCATTTTCAAAATTGAGCTAGCAACTAAGAGCCCATAGATAACAATGGATGGAAAGGGTGCTAAAACCTTCCCTTTCCATAAACTACCCCCTTTACTCAGAAAATAATCTTGAAAGGGTGTTCCTATTCTTTTCACCCTTTCCTTTGTTGGATAAAAGAAAATTCGGTGGCGACTCTTCCTAACCGCAACATTGCGATAAAATGCAAAACCAGTAAAAATCAATTCCCCCACCATATTACAGCAGTCAAATGAATAAGGATGCAGGTCCTTATAAAGGCGCAGCAGTGAGTTTGGGCTGAAAAACAAATATTCTAATCTTTTGAATATTTCCATGAAAATAGGCCAAGATATAATTCATAAAGATAAAGCATATCGAAAAATATTCCTCCATATTTTTTGCAAGCTATGAGTTCCAAATCCTGAATGATGGTGCGCATAAAAACAGGAAACAGAAAAATTTAACCAGATATTAAGTTTCGTTCAGCTGAGGAGGCAGATGTCAAGACATATGCGTTGATATCATTCAAAATAGTTTACTTCAAATGTCAAGAAATTTAGCAAAATATTATCAAGTTAGTGTTTTACCAAAATTGCTGCCAACAAACACTTACAAGAAGAATGAGTTGATTCCTACAAGAACTCTTACAGGTGGGAGAGTGTGCATTCACTAACGAAGGTTGAACACTTCTACAAGAAAGGACCACTTTCCTTTACCATTCATTGATCAAATGTTGGAAAGGTTGGCTGGTCATGACTACTACTCATCCTTGAGGAGTACTCTGGATACCATCAAATTGTAGTGCCCCAGAAGATCAAGAGAAGACCGCATTCACATGCCCTTATGGTATTTCCGCCTTCAGAAGAATTCCATTTGGGTTGTGCAATTCCCCTGCCACTTTTTGAGAGATGTATGACGTCCATATTCGCTGATATGCTTGAAAACCATGTGGAAGTGGTTATGGATGATTTTTTAGTTTTCGGTTCTTCGTTTGATAATTGTTTGATTAACTTGTCTCTTGTGCTAGAAAGATGTCAGTAGACCAATTCGATTCTCAATTGGTAGAAGTGACATTTCATGATGTGTGACGGAATAATGTTGGGGCACAAAATTTACCATAAGGGAATTGAATTTGACAAAGAAAAAGCAGAGGTGATTGCAAATTTACCACCACCGGTGAATGATAAGGGTATATGAAGTTTCTTGGGACATGTAGGTTTTTTTCGCAAGTTCATAAGAGATTTTTCGAAGATTGCCAAACTGTTGACTATCTAGCTTGTTAAGGATACACTGTTTCTATTTTGATGAAAAGTGTGATGAGGCTTTTGAATCTTTATAGAGTAAGTTATTATATGCTCCTATAGTAATTTCCCCTGATTGGTCTCTTCCTTTTGAGATCACGTGTGATGCAAGTGATATAGCAATGGGGGAAGTACTAGGACAGATAAAGGAAAAGCTTTTGTGTGTGGTCTACTATGCAAGACGTGTGTTGAATCCTGCACATATGAATTATACACAACTAAAAAATAGTTGCTAGCAGTGGTGTATGCTTTTGACAAATTTAGGTCTTACTGGTTGGGATCGAAGGTAATTGTTTATATTGACCATGCTACTTTGAAATATATTTTTTCTAAATAGAAATTAAAGCCAAGGTTGTTGAGATGGATTCTTCTTCTGCAAGAGTTTGATTTGGAAATCCAAGACAAAAAGGGATGTGAAAATACAGTTGCTGATCACTTATCCCGAATATCCCTGATAGAAGAAACAGAAGAGAAACACCCGATAAAGGATGATTTTTTCGATGAACGAATCCTAGTTGTTACAAATGTTCCATGGTTCTCAAATTATGCGAATTATTTGGTAGGTGGAATAATATCTAATGATTTTGATGCTAACAAAAAGAAAAAGTTTTTGCATGATTGCAGGTTTTATTTGTGGGATAAACCATTCTTGTACAAGAAAGGAACAGACGATTTGGTTCGAAGATGTATCCCATAGGAAGAACAAAGGGATGTCCTAAAAGCATGTCATGACTCGGAATATGAAGGACACTTCAGTGGAGATTGAACAACAGCAAAAATCCTCCAGCCCGAGTGGTACTGGCCTACTTTTTTCAAGGATACTCAAGGAATGGTGAAAGAATGTGACATGTGTCAGAGGACATGTAACATTTCAAAGAAGAATCAAATGCCTCAAAATACTATGTTGTAGGTGGAATTGTTTGGTGTATAGGAGATAGACTTCATGGGACCGTTTCCACCCTCATTTGGAAAGAATTACATCTTGGTAGTTGTGGCTTATGTGTCAAAGTGGGTGGAAGCGGTACCGTTACCCACTAATGATGCCAGGGTTATGGTTAATTTTCTGAAGAATAATATTTATCAAGGTTTGGGGTGCCAAGAGCACTCATCAGTGGTGAAGGCACCCGTTTCTTGAACAAGTTGATGGAGAATCTGTTAAAGAAATATAATGTGAAGCACAAGATTACCACTCCATATCATCCTCAAACGATTGGGCGAGTTGGAGTGTCTAACAAGCAGATAAAATAGATTCTTGAAAAGATTGTTAGTGCTTCTCTCAAAGACTGGTCAGTGAAGTTGGAAGATGAATTTTGGGCATACAGAATAGCGTTCAAAACACCAATAGGTATGTCCCCTTATCAGTTGGTTTATGGTAAAGCTTGTCATTTGTCGCTCGAATTAGAGCATAAAGCATTTTGGGCCTCCAAATTCCGGAATTATGATCTTTTCCAAGCTGGTGAATCCCAAATTCTTCAACTCCATGATTTAGAAGAATTTAGGAATCTGGCTTACGAGAATGCCAAAATTTATAAGGAACAAACAAAAAAATGGCATGATCGGAAGATCCTGAGGAATGAATTTTAGGAAGGATAATTGGTGGTGTTGTTTAATTCCAGGTTGAAGTTGTTTCCTAGAAAACGGAAGTCCAGATGGTCCGGACCATTTGTGATCCACAAAGTGTTCCCGCATGGAGCGGTCAAGCTTAAAAATAAAGAGAACGGGGACACCTTTAAGGTGAATGGAAAGATTAAAACCATAATATCAAGGACAAGAGAGTGGTCTAATAGATGATGTCCATCTTACAGGATAAGATGGGCAATCGTCGATCCATGCGACATTAAGTGAAGCGCTTCTTGAGAGGCAACCCAAGGGAGATACCATTTCATTTTGAATTTTAGTTATTTAATTTTGTATTTTAGTTGAACTGTTATTTTTGTTTTACATTTTTATCATTTTATAGTCAATTATGTGTGTTTTTACTTTGCAATGAATTAAGGAGTCGAGACTCGAGATTAAGTGCACATTCTGGCAAAACGCGTGTCCACGCACGTGCCACAATTTTTTGGCATGTTATATGCTAGAACGCATGACAATACATGTTATGGTCATGTAACTTCAGTAAACGCGTCCAAGGACGTGTGCCTAACAGTTGTGTTGGGAAAAAATGCATGGCCACATGCATGCCAGAAAGTTTGTCGTTGTCTGCGTGTATGTCAGGATGCGCGCCTCTCTTCACATGCACGTCTGGATGCATGCTTCCTCTCACATGCACATGTGGATGCATTTCAGATTTTCACCTGCACTATTTATACTTTTTCACCATTCACACACGCATTTTCAGATCTAACACCACCCATTGTCGCTGTGAAAATTTTTATGCTTTCAGTTTTCTCATTCTCCTTGCTCAAAAAAAAAATCCCTCACATGGCTAAGAAATCAATGCCTTCATCATCTGCTGGTTTTGACAACCTGAAGTTTTCCTTTTCCCTCCACCAACAGAGATATGACAGTTTGGGTGAGCGGAATTTTATTGAGGAAAGGCAGTTTGGTTTACAGAGAGGGGAATACACTGATGTCTAGGCCACTCTAAAAAAACAGATTCACCTATAGGGTTTCCCATGATGCACCTAAATTTATCAGTTATGTGAGAGGCAAAACAATTGAGTTTGACTGGAAAGTGATAGACAAACTATTGAAACTTAAATTCAAAGAGCCGTAGTGCAAGTATGTATAGAATAAGGGAGAAACACATAGAAGTTGGCCATATTCTGACATGTTAAGCAAATTGGCCATTCCGGGAAAATGGTGGTACGGCTTTTCACGTAGTCGTGATTCGGATAACGTATCAAGGAAAATTCTATCTCGGTCTCTTGCCCCCGTCCTAAAAGTATGGGTATCATACTATCATCATAACTTCGATACCAACATAAGCGGTTCAGAGTTAACCACTTTGAGGGCTTTGGAAATTTACTATCTGCTAGATAATCAACCTGTTAACTTGGGGAAAATTATTGCAGAGGACATGGATGCCATTGTCCAATCTAAGTCAAAAAAAGTTACGGGGCATGCATATGTGATACTTCTTTTGTGCATGAAAGCTGGAGTTGAACCTTTGACAGATGGAATTAAGGTGATTCCATCCAAGGAAATTGATACCATATTGATTGGTAAGATGAATGTGGTTTCTAAAACTGAGGATGCAAATAGACAAGGAGAAGGAAATCAACTCAGTGATAATGTTCAAAGGTCAGACCCATTGCATGAGTTTCCCTCGGGAGTGACCGCCGCTTACCACTATCACCACAGTATGGACGAGGAGTCCTATGCTCATCGAGTAGAGATGCATAATTCATGCAGGATATGTGCATAACATTTAATATATCTAGACTATACCTTACTCATGAGATTTATGCGTGGGATGTTGTCCAGTGCTAACGCAACCGTCCAACTGCAAACCCACCCGCTCCTTACCATGGACGGTATCAAATTTCTGGTTTCTCGTATGACATGCAGATAGGAGGACACATAGCTCCTCATGTACCTTGTCAGCCTCAGCCATCTCCGCCCAATACGGACGATGATGACATCTTTCGTAACATTCACAGAGACCTCGGCCTGGATGATGAGTGTGATCGGTGGATCTGGAACTGACTGTTTAACGCTGGTTTCGCGAAATATCGCGGAAGCAAGAGTCGCCACTGTCTTTTATTTTCTCCAATATGGAAAGGACAAAAGCACAGAAAAATTCCTTATTGAGATTAGTTCTCGGTTCGGGAGGTATATTTATAGAAAGGGAAGGTGTTAGAACCCTTTCTATCCATGGTTATCCATGGGCTCTTAGATACTTGCTCATTTATGTTTTCAAAATGTTTGTTTGCTTTTCAAGGTGAGTGGGTTTGAAAAAGTTCCGTTTAAAATTTCAGTTCGACTCTTGTATCAATCCTCAAGAGTGTTTGAAAAGTTGTTTTTGAAAGCTTTTTGCAAAGTGTCGGTGTGAAAAGAAGTTTTTGAGTTGTTTTGAATTAGAGCAAGTATCTACGAGTCATCTACCTACCCTAAGGAATTAGTCTGTGTAAATGTCCTTAAGGTAGTGCCATCCCACCATTGAGAGGTAGGTAGCACCACCGTTGGAGGTGTTCGGGTCAATTCGAGGATTAGGGACAGTGTGGTCACCAGAGCAATAGTAGGACACCTTAGAAGCTACCCTCATGCCATGTTCATGGACATAAGGACTTACTAAAACGTCCCATACTCGACGACCACGTTTCGAGGGGCAAGGCAACAATGAGGCGTATCCTAGGAGTGGTGTGTGAATTGTGTTCCATTTTCAGTTATTATTTGTCTTGATCATGCATTGAGTGTTCTACGCTTTGATTTTATTTGAGCATACATTCTTTCATGTGATTAACAGTTTAAAGGGCGCGGAAATTAAAATGCGGAAAAAATAAAGGTCCTACGCTATTACAAGGCGCGGGTCTACATCGCCAAATTAAACCAAGACCCGATTTGAATGAATAAAATGCGGAAAATAAATATCCTAATTATCTATTACAAAGCTTTGGGGCAATTACACGAAATTTAAAAAAGGAAATAAAAGTAAAAGTGCGAAAGGAAATTAGAATCGAGTGCGAGGGCGTTGGACCCTTTAAAGAAATTAAATCGAAATTATAAATTAACTAAATTAAATAAAGGACAGAACTTATTTTTTTGATGTTTATTGTATTTAATGGAAATAAAGAAAATTAATTGGAATTTGAAATTAAATAAAACCCTAGTTCTAAGTTTGTTTTTAATTATTAAAGAAAATTGTTTAAGTTTAACCTAATTTAACCATAATTAATTAATTATAAGTTATTTATAAAATAATTAATAATTAATAATAAGAAGAAGAAAAATTTAATTATTGAGAAAAAGAGTAAAAAAATGCTAGAAACCCTAATTTTTATGTTTTTTAGTTATTTAGAAAACAAATTAAAATTTAAACCCTAAATTAAAACTAAATTGATTATTAAATTTATTTACAAAATAATATTAATGCATTAAATAATAAATAAATAAATTTTATTTTTTGACTTTTCTGATTTTTTATGTTTTTGTATTATTAAAATTAATTTAAGGAATTAAAAGAAAATAATTAAAACAAATAAAAAATAGAAAAATAATAAGGGAAAGAAATACAAACAAGAGGGGTTGTTGACCCAATTATGGAGGTCTATTTGGAGCATTCTTGGCCCACTGAATCAGGCCGGGTTGACTTTTCTGGCGCGTGTGAGGAACAGCTGACTAATGCATATGGTAGACTCCAGATCCTGACCTTTGGATTGACCCCTGGGGACATGTGGCGCGCCAAGAGATGGAGTTGTATGGTGGTCCTTTGATGAAGCACTGCATAGAAATATATTGCAAGAAAAATTATGGAATAAAGTGGGGGACCTGGGAATCGAACCCAGGTCCCAGCGTTTACCCAACGTATGTCCAACCATCTGAGCTATGCGCGCGCGTTGTATTAGAATTGGTAAGCGAATAACATAACACAAAACAACGCTTAGTGATGTCCATCGCGCCAAAATTCAAACGTGCCAATTATCAGGGGACACGTCCTCTTTCTTCTTCATGTTTCCTGCAAATAAAACATAGATAGCGGGGGTTTTAAACCCCCACTAAATAGTACCTACAAAAATAGCGAATAGAGCATAGTAGAAAAGAAAAAGGGCGCGAGGTGGCCAATCGTTTCGTCCAGATGCCCTGGTTTTGATAGTACTAGTCTGGTTATCCAATTTTTCCTCAAGCGTAAAACCCTAATTCAAGGTTCCTGAAACCCTAAAAAATGGCCATGGCAACTTTCTATACAGGCAAGATTAGTTCAATTTAAAAGATACCAAAAGCTTTAGTGAGTCCATGTTAGTACAAATTAAACATTAAAATGCATTGATATGGCATGTAAATTCAAATACGATTCAGAAAAAATTCATGAACAGGGCGACTGTGTTCTACCAATTCTTTGCGTGTGGAGATATGATATCAATTGGAATAGCTTCCTGGTTGTCTCAGCAAGCCTTTGGAATAGTTTTGGGACCTTGAATTACACTCTAGCTATCAAAACAGTTTCAAGTTTTTTTTGAAAAAAATGCAAAGTCGTTTTCTGGTTTGAGGCGCGGCTTTCTTCCTCTTGAGCCTTAGGGTTTGTTTGTGCATATATGAGGAATGAATTAGGGTAAAAAGATCAAGCCCAAAGCCTTGTTTTAATGCCTTTCAAATTTGTGATTTTCCATAATCTTTTTCAATCTTTTTCATACCAATCTTATGCCAATCAATGGAGATTCTTGCCTTTTTGAGTGTGCACGAAATATTGAGGTCATGATGAGTGGATATGCTGCACAAAAAGGTTTGGAAAACATGATTTGCTATTTTTGTCATATTTTATTTTAATTAAATGAACTAATAATAATAATAATTCAAATAATTAATAAAAAATGATAAAATAACTCCCTTTAAAGTCAATGGGTCGTGCATATCTTTTGGGTGATGATTCTTGGAAGAGATTGTGGCCCATTAGCAATTTTGAGGCTTTTGGAGCAAAGTTGACTTTTCAAAATTCCCAAACATTTCCCAACTTCCACAAGGCATATCTTGCTCAATTTTTAAGATTTGATCACGTTCTTGGACATTTTGGAAAGGTCTTAGAGTCCTCTAACCAATTCCTTTGGTCCCAAGTCATTTTGATTTACCAATCTCAAGTTATGGTCTTTGACTTAAAGTGCCTTTTGTTGACTTTTGAAAATGACCTATAATGTTGAGATTGATAACTTTTTGTGAGAGCATTTCTTGGACTTGAAGTGTGAAGATGAGTTGTGGGAAATGTCATTCTCTTCAAAATGAGCTTTGGTTTTTCTGATAAACCATGTGAAAGTTATGCCTTGGTCAATTTGCAGTTGACTTTTTCAACTGTCCAAAAATAGAAACTTTTGCATCTTGAGACTTTTTGAGCCATGCCTTGAAAATCATGATCAAGAATTGATCAAATGATGTTTGTGGCTTCAAAATAAGATGTTGACCAAAAATTTGGACTTTTGACTGTCAAATGACCATTTTGCCCCTGCAGTTGACTGTGAAGCAATTAGGGTTTTTGACTGTGCAATTTTGTGCTGTGAGCCTTGAAACTTGGCATGAGGATGCCTGACAATGTTTATGGGCATGTGGGACTTGTTTGGACCCTTGGAAACTTCAATGTCTTTGCCAGAACCAAAACCCTAATTTTTGACTGTTAGGAGGCAATTGGACTGTGCAACCCTTGGGAGATTTTGAAGCATGCTCTTTACAAATCTTGAAGAATATGGGAGGGAAAATTTTGGGGTACAACAGTTGCCCCTGTTCAATCTTCTTAGACCTGAGGATGCAGATTGGCTGACGTGCCTTTCGTAATCCGAAGGTGGAAGATGATTGAACACTAGAGTGCCCAGAATTTTGCGCTCACATAGTGGTGATGGTGGGAATGGGCTTACAGATGCCATTTGGAGATTGATGGATAGGAAGATGGGCTTACAGATGCCATGTTAAGGGGTGATGAATATGTGGATGGGCTTATAGATGCCATCTGGGTGTCGGTCGCGTAAGAGATTCCTTAGCGAGAACTTGCGTACCTGAAAAAGAAAGATGATTACCTGACCTGTTACAGGAGTTGGTCTTCAAACTCTTTGTGTAAATGTGCCCTGACTGGTTACAGGAATTGAATCCTTAAACCTCTTCAGACGTGCCCTGGCGAGATACAGGAGTCGAGTCTGGAGTTTCGAAAGGTGATTAATGAATCAGGGATGGTTACTACCTCATCGGGACGATGAGAGAACCTTGGGTGATTACTACCTCAACAGTAACGATGAGAGAATCTGGGGTGATTACTACCTCAACAGTAACGATGAGAGAATCTGGGGCGATTACTACCTCAACAGTAACGATGAGAGAATCTTGGGTGTCTTCTACTGAGTCTTCATTAGGAAAATCTTTAGGAATCGATTTAACTGGACCAGAGAAGGCCTTTGACTGGATAAGAATCAGAAAAATCTTTAGGAGTCGATTTAACTGAACCAGGAAAGGTCTTGAAATAACTTCAACTGGATAAGAATCAGGGAGATCTTAGGGTCGATCTGACTGAACCAGAGAAGGCCTTTGACTAGATAAGAATCAGAAAAATCTTTAGGAGTCGATTTAACTGAACCAGGCAAGGTCTTGGAATCTTCAACTGGATAAGAATCAGGGAGATCTTTGGGTCGATCTGACTGAACCAGAGAAGGCCTTTGACTAGATAAGAATCAGAAAAATCTTTAGGAGTCGATTTAACTGAACCAGGCAAGGTCTTGGAATCTTCAACTGGAT